CGCGCATTCGCCTCGCCTTCGGACACGTCGTCCTGGTCGGTTGCAGGGCCCGCGCAGTGCTCGGATACACGGTCCTCCGGCACTGTGCCAAACAGGCTCAGTTTGTGGCGGTGCTCGAGGTAATCTTTCTGCGCGCAGACTACGCAGGCTGCTTCGCATCGGTGTACTGCCTCGTTGCCCGAGAAGTGGTTGCCCTTGCTGCCCGGGTGACAGAACTGCTGGAAGTGAGCAAAATTCTGCACCATGCGCCTCTTTTCCTGGGCGGCTATCGGCCTGCAGCCAGCCTCCGCCATCAGGAACAGCACCCGTTTGCGGTATTCCGCCTCGCCCGCGTGGTCCTGCTGCTTGCGCCGCGCAAAGTTTTCCTCTGTAAGAAAGTCGCAGTCGCAGAGCTGGCACACGAGCGGCCCCGTCATGACGGGGCGGTCGGAGAAGACGCGCAGCTGGTCCCCCTCCACCTCGCCGCCGGGAACGCAGCAGCTCTTCCCCGCGGGGGCGGCCGACGCCTTGCGCACCCGCTCCGCGCACCGCTGCGCGAATTCCGTGTGTTGCGCAGAGAGGCTGGACACAAGCTCTTTGTAGGCGGCAAGGCGTCGCAGGATTGCCTTGGTCCGGATGCCGCTCTCGAGCATCAGCAGGTCCTGGTCGATCCTGTTCTGCGCCTCCTCAGCGAACCCTTCCATGGGGTTTGGAAGGCCCTCCGCCTCCGCGATGCGAGTCTTTGTTGTGGCTTCGCTATCCGCTTGCTTGAAGGCCTGGAGCTCGGCGTCCTGCTCCGGGGAGAACTGGTTGGCCTTCCGTGCTTTCCGGACTTTCTCTGCCAACTGCCGCTCTGCGAGGCTACGCCCGGCATGCTCCTTCGGGTGGCGGCCGAGGTCTCGCACTTGCTGCATGAGCTCCTCGGTCTTGTCTCGCTTTTGCTGCATGAGCTCCTCGGTCTTCTGCTTCCGCTTGAGCTCCTCGGTCTCCGTCTGCTGATCAGCACAGCCCAGGGCCCGCAGCTCATGCAACATATCTTTGGGGATGCGGTCGCGATGGTCCGAGAAACGTTTGGCCAACTTGTTTTCGGCCCGTTCTTGTTCGGACGTTCCTTTATTTCGCTTCGGTATCCGGCCGAACTGCTTCGCGTGCTCGACGAGCGTTTGCAGAGGACCGCTCAGTGCAGCACGCTGAGGAGCAGCGCTGTTCCCTGCCGCAGGCTGAGGAGCACCGCTGTTCAATGCAGCAGGGTCAGGAGCACCGCCGCCAGACCGAGAACTATCAGCATGTCCTGGCATTAAGGTGCGCAGTAGGCACTGCGCAGTTCCTTTGAAAGGAAATCTTCGAAAGCAGGGCTGTAGCCAAGAAGGCTACGGGGACGATGATGACGACGAAGATGATGAGTCTTGGAAGTCTGGGAAGTGGAAGAACACGAAGTGGCGTACAGTTGGCTCCGGGCATTCAAAATGTGGCCCGGGAGTGGTGTTCTGGGAAGTGGAAGAGCACGAAGTGGCTTACAGTTGGCTCCGGGCATTCAAAATGTGGCCCGGGAATAGCGTTCTGGGAAGTCCAAGAGCACGAAGTGGCCTACAGTTGGCTCCGGGCATCCAAAATGTGGCCCGGGAATTGAGCTTTGGGAAGTCGAAGAGCGCGAAGTCGCCTACAGTTGCCTCCGGGCATTCTAAATGTGGCCCGGGAATGGAGTTCTGGGAAGTCGAAGAGCACGAAGTGGCTTACAGTCGGCTCCGGGCATTCAAAATGTGGCCCGGGAATGGAGTTCTGGGAGGTCGAAGAGCACGAAGTGTGTGACTGTTTGCTTAAAACGAGCCCGGCCCTCGCCTGTCCGGCTCCCGCCCAGACCCCCCTGGGGAGTCATCAGATGCTTTCTTTTGACCCCGTTAGAAACCTATCAGTCTTCGCTGTTAAGTAAAAAAGGCGCCTCGTTCCTTATTCAGGGTTCCTCAGGTCAACGCTCCGACTGTAGCACATGCCTGAAGCGCACAAGGCGCAACACGCGTGCAACAGAACGCCCGCGGGCGAGCGCCCCCGACCCAGGCAAGTGAGGCGAAGGCGGGTGCGGCATCGCACCCGGGGCAGGTGGCGGCCACGGCCGCGATGGGAAGCCGCATGGAGCCAGCCAGGGCGCGGAGGCCTGGGAGAGGCTCGCAGGCCCGAGAGGGCGTGGGCCAACCCAGCCAGGAGGGGAGGGGAAGAGGAAGAGAGAGGAGCCAGGCACGGCGACTGCAATGTCTGGAGGAGGCTTGAGGCCAACCAAGGCGCAGCAGGCCACCAGCTCGGATGCTGCCACTGCGTGAGCGGCGCCAGCACGGTAGCTTGCTGTACATAGATGCGCAGTCGACGCCAGGCCACGCGAAGTAGAAACATGCATATGAGCGGGGCTGCGACAGAGCGGCGAAAGGCTGCGAGCAGGAGAAGACGGCTTAAGCCACGAGCATGAGCCACGACCAAAAGTTCAGGGGGGGCAAAGGGGGAGGTCCAGAGGGGATTGGAGGCACTCGGAAAACCCCTAAATGGAAGGCTGGTTCGGGTATGCTGCGGCGGCAAAATCACCCAATGCGGGGAACAAGCAGTTAAAGCATGTAGCAACAGAGGGACACGCGCGTTGACGAATACTCACAACTATGCACTGCCCGAATGAAAGCAAGGTTCTGTCTGCGCAGACCAAGTCTTCTGTACATAACTGAAAGCGCGAGACGCGGAGCGAATGCTGAAATATGGGAGACCGACTGGGGGCGACCTACAAGCAGAGAAGTTGGGCAGACCTACGCCCAGCCGGGTCCGATCTGCAACAGAAAAACGCCGCTGAAGAGGAGGCCTGGAATCAATGAGCAGGCACTGCGCAGTGCAGGACAACAGTTAGTTGGCCTTCTGATCGGGCACCTGGACATGTCAGGAAACGTTTGATGTCTACAACCGATGTCTACAACCGAGCCATTCAATCAGAGCATCTGTCTCGCAAGGGAAAACAAACTCGATACAGCAAGGCCGACATTGGAACCCTTTGCCTTCTCTGCACATCTTGGCACTGCACCAGCGTCCATAGTGAGAGATGTGCCCACTGTAATGGCACGCTGGTGGCCGGTTGGGAACGCACTCTGATGCAAGAGAACCAGCCACTATCGGCTTGCGAAACAGTCCAAGACTTACCAGCACACGGCCTGTAGCTGGGAGGCTGAATTGAGTCAGGGGAACCCTCGCCTGGCGTTCCTACGTCGCGCTGGGGCGGCGGGTCGTATCCACACTCCTTAAGAGCCCGTCCAGAGGGAAGGGGAGGACAATCATGCTCTAGCAGGGAGCCGACAAGAACGGCGTCTTCGTGTGCGATGCCTGCCCTCTGGGCTCGAAGGTAGTTGTTTGTGTCTTCCTCTGTCACCTCCTGATGTGCCCTAGCATTCGCATAAGGGATCTCCGGCAAAAAGTGCTCGCGAGGAGGAGACAACTCCTGTTATGTTGTTCTAGAGCGGCGGCGCTTGTTGGCCTCGCTCTGTAAACGCGGTGATATGAAGCCCGCTCGGGGGCGTCCCACAGGAGCAGGCACAGGGAAAGGTTGGGACCCAAAGAACTGGCGAAGCCGCTCGTCAGCAGAGCTCTTACCCTGCCGATAGGAAGTACTAGCCTGCAGAAATGCCAGAACTGACAGCATGAACAGCGCGAGCACGACGCCTGGCATTTCGCTCATTGGGAGACCGAGGGTGCAGCGGTGGAGGCGACAGGGGGCGACCCACTGGGATAGGCGAGGGACTGGCCCCTTCCACGACACGCTGCCTCTCGAGTGCGTCACTGGTGGTCCTGGATGCGGACAGCCGATGCCATCTGTTGAGACGGCGGTGCACGGCAGGGTCGCCCGCATCCTTCAGAGATGGAGCAGTGATGCCCTTGGCTGTGCGACCAACCCACAAGTCCCCCGGCGAAGGCGGCACTGGTAGAGACGAGTGCTGCGCAACGGTTCGATCTGCTGCAGGAGCCTGTGCTCGCTCGTCGAGCTGAAGCGGTGGAAGCACGAGGATGCCAGGACGTTGAGCATCCAAAGCAAGTGTTCTTGGAACAGCAACCTGAAGAGCCGCGGCCTGACAGCTGGGCGGGGCAGGCGGCGGCGGTTAGTGCGGGGGAAGCAGCGGCGCAGCGGTCTGCCACGCTGGGGGGGGCGGCGGTGCTGGGGTCTGCCGCAGCCTCGGAGGCGGAGGCAAACCATAGCCTCCCCACGCCTGCCTGACGCGTTCGCTGTACAGCGAGCGACGCGCTGGGCGCGTGCCGGAAGGATATCTCGTGCGCAAAAGGGGGCAACGCGGTTGCGGCTACGGTCCGGGCTTGCCAGAAAGGGGTGGGAGGGAGAAGGCTGAGGGTTTTTTTGGTGTTGTTGTACTAACCCCCCTGATTGGGGGTGCCTCTGAATGGTCCATCTTCACGGCTCATGGGTCCTGACAGGTCATGGGGCCGGGAACGCAGACTTTCGACGGATGACGGAGAGGAGAGAATGCATTTTTGGATGGTTTCTGGCGTTCTCGAGCTTCGGGCTCGGGGCACCTCGTGACAATGGCCCGAACAGCTAGTCATATGGACAAAATTGGGAGGGGGACTTGCGGAGGGGAGGCACATAGACCCCCAACCGCCCATCCATCGCCAATCGGGGCCCGGGTGCCCCATCCCGCCAAGGAGCGCGGGCGGCCTCGCTACCGAGGACCTGTCGCCTATCTAGTGGAGGGAGATGCATCGCCGATTCCAAGTCCGTGTTTCCTCCCCCCTGGAGCCAGTCCCCCCTCATTCGGTCGGGAATTCCTGGAGTAGCGAGTCCGCCAGGCCGCGGCGCGACACACTATCCAGTTCCTAGTCCCGAGGCGTCCACGTCCCAAGCTTGCCTGTGCCTCCCGCCCCGCGGAGTGGAGCAACACGCCATCCGCTCATAGGGCATGGCGTGCCGCCGGGGCCACCGTGGCGACACGCGACCCAGATGTTCCTGACAGCATTGCCTCGCCTCCCCCCGCCGAGTCGCCCCTGCGCGCAGCGCTTCTGGGGCACAAAGGGCGCCCCCCCCCCTCCAAGCGCCGCTCGCGAGGGCGGCGCGGTCCCCCTTCTGCTTGCGGCCCCTCCGCCCTCGGGGGGCGCGCGCGCCGCCGCGTGCGGGCTCGCGCCGCGGGGGCGATGCCAGGGCTATGCGGCAATTTCGTGGAGTTCTTCAACGACAACGTGAACATGATGGTCATGGCTGCGACGATCGCGAGCTTCGCTTCCGGGCTCGCAGGGAAGATGCTGGGGCCGGGCGCAGGTGCCATCATGCTGGCGCAGCTGCAGATGGCGCTGTGCCTCGCCATCGTCTCGATCCTCCGGATGGGGGGCCTGGCGCTCTACAACAGAGCTGCGAAGGGAAGCGTGATGCGGGAGGTATACGGCACCATGCTGTTGGGTCTGCCGTGGTTCTTGAGGGTGCCCACTGTGGTGGTGATTCCAAGCTACCTCCAGGCCCTCTACAACGAGATCCACTGGAACCCAGCCGATTTTAACGCACATGGCCGTGCTTCTACCGCTTTCCTTTTGACCGTTATTGTTTTCGCTGTTGTATACACGCTACTATCCTGAAGGCTTGCGCCAGTCAGCTGGCCCCCGAAAGGCTGGATCGCTGACGATGTTCTGCGACGTGTCACCGACGGTACGGTGGAAAGGGAGAAGGAGGGCGTCGACGGCGAGGAAGAAACGGAGGAGGAGCACGTTCTACACAACGCATGGCGAAGCGGAGGAATATTCACCGAAGGAGGCGGACGAGGACGAAGTGAAAGTATTTGTGGAGGGGGGGAAGACAGAGGAAGAGGGAAGCCAGGATAGGGAAGGGAAGGGGCAGACGCGAAGGAAGGGCAGGATGGCCAAGCCAAGGGCAGTGCGTTCGGCGTGGGGACTCCCCACGGCCGCGACGGATCCGCGGGTGGCACCCTGGGCTTCTGGGGCCGCTGGGCGCGTCCCGGGGCACTGGATTGAAGGCACACTGAACCAATGGGCCGTTTTTTTTATTCATGGTTTCGCCGATCGGCGCGGGCCCCTGCGCCCCTCCCCCCCCCCGAGACCAGATCTTGGCTGCTGCTGGCGACTGGTCAGGACCACTCCCCCCAAGTCTGCTGGCGCAGCTCGAAGCACATCGACAAAGCTCACCGGCTCGTACCCAGGTCCCCCCCTCTCCCCCACTTTTCGGCAAAATTTCGAAATCCAGAATTAAAACAACGCCCACCAAGGGGCACGAAAGATACGTCAGGCCCGTGGGCACCTGCAGGTCCCCCGCAGGGGGGGCGAAGCCGATCGCGCGTCGCGGCGCGGGTCGGAGGGGCGCCCGTCTGCATGGTGGCCCCGCGGCCGGGAAGGCCCCGCCATGGGGGGGGGGTCCGCCGGCCGCCCCGGAGGCCAGGCACGGAGAAGAAGGAGGAGGGAGGAGGAGGGAGGAGGAGGAGGAGGAGGAGGAGGAAGAGGAGGAGGAGGAGGAGGAGGAGGGCGGAGGAGGAGGAGGAGGAGGAGGAGGAGGAGGAGGAGGAAGAGGAGGAGGAGGAGGAGGAAGAGGAGTAGGAAGAGGAGGAGGAAGAGGAGGAGGGGGGGGGGATGCGGCAGAGGTGCGCGTCGGCGCGCGGCTGCGGCAGCGGTGCGGGCGCTCCGGGTCGAGCGCCGCCGGTGGCCCAGGAGCGGCCGATGTCGAGCGAGCTGCGCCACCGAAAGGTTTCGCACGCTCGAGGTGGAACGGTCGACGCGGAGGCCACGCAAGGGGGGGGGATGCGGCAGAGGTGCGTGTCGGCGCTCAGCTGCGGCACCGGTGCGGGCGCTCCGGGTCGAGCGCCGCCGGTGGCCGATGTCGAGCGAGCTGTGCCACCGAAAAAAGTTGCGCACGCTCGAGGTGGAACGGTCGACGCGGTGTCAGAAGCCAGCGCGCAACTCGTCACGACCGGAACCCATCGTGCCCTGGTGTATACCCACCCCTCCGAAGACCCCCCCACGCGTGGCCCATCTCACAAGAGAGTGCGAGTGAGATCCTCACAGTCGACGGGGAGCCGAGCATGCGTGATTTTGAACAGTTTTGACCGCCCTGGCTTTCTGGTCAGCTCTGGAGCCGTCCTGGACTCATCTAAAGCAGTCTCGGGCCAGTCTGGGAGTCGCCTCGGGTCGTCGTTGGTAAATCTTGCAGCGTTTGGGGCCCATGTGGGACGCAGTCCTGGCTGTAAGTCGGGCGTGTCCCTCTCCACAGGAGGAACATTCAAAAAATAGTCCAAGAATAGTCTGGGGACGATGTTTTTGACTATCTTTGGCAATCTTACCCTTGATTTTGCGTCCACACTGCGCCTGTAGGGGGACATGCCCGACCGAACCCTGACTCGGTTTGGAGCATCTTGGGCCCGTCCTCGGGCCGTCGTGGGCCGCCCGGGGGGGGGGGAGAGCCGGCAGCCCGAGCCTGCGCGGCACGAGCCCACAGGGCGAAAGCGCCGTGAAGTCCCTGCGGGGGCCTGCCCGGCCCAGGTCGATCCCATCAGTCGGAGTAGCTATCGATTCTGGCCAGCCCGATCCGATGATGTTCTCAGGAGGGGAAAAACACACACAGACACAACTAATCGTCGATTCCCCCGAAAATGTGGGAAAGTATGGGAACTGGGGGGGGATAAGACAAAAACCCAGAAAAGATGGGAAACTATGGGGGAAATTTTTCAATTGTGTGCCTTCATTTGTGTGTCCCAGGGCCCCTTTCTAGATCCAGGCAGCCCGACGACCCGGCGCAGCTCGGTGTTTGCATGGCGTGGCCCTGCGCCTCCGGGTGGCGCCGAGCCGATCTTCGATCTCGGTTCTCCGTGCCGGCGGGGCCCGGGCCGACTCTCTGCTTGCCGGGACGCTCGGCACCGCTCGGACGTGTTCATGTTTCTTTCGGCGAGGACCATCGAGGAGCATCCTTGATCACTTGGCGAAAAAACCACACACGAAACCGAACAAAACACAGGGAATGGACGTCCGAGCGATGGCCGGGACGCCGGTGTCACATGATGCGACCAGCCCGGGCCAGGGCGGGAGCTGGGCAGATGCGCGCGGGCCAGATGTCTCTCCAGCGCTCGGGCCTCTGCGGCCACGCAGGCCGGGCCGCCGCGTGCGCAGCCCGCGCGGGGCCTCCAGGCGCTGCACATGTGAGTCTGGCCACGCTTGCTTCCAGCTTTGGGTCGGGCGGGTCCCTCAACAGAGGGAATAGGATTCAAACGTAGGTTTAAGAAATATCTGGGAACGATTTCTCTATTATTTGCGTGCCGCTGGCCTCTCGAGACCTCCAGGAGAGCCGCCGAGGTGGCCTGGCTGCTGCACTCCCGGGGCCCCCGGAGGCCCCCCGAGGCGTGCCCCCAGGGAGACACGGGGAGCAGCCTTTCGCTACGCCTTCGGGGCCAGCGCACGCCCGACGGGGCTGCGACGAGGAGATGTCCGTCCCAGAGCGTTCCGGGACGCTCTCGCTCTGAGGAGGCCGCGGCGCCCGAGACGTCCTCCAGAGCCGCCGGACCTCAGAGAGTCTCGCCTTATCCTCACCGATGTGATCCTCGTCCTGGCTTCGTCTTCGCATGGGGAAGCATCTGGTTTTTCCAGCGTGTTCTGGTTCTTGCAAGCCCTGACAACGCCCCTCACGAAGCGTCTAGGGGCTTCTCGGGGCCAGCTTTGGCGATCCTGCCAAGGACGGCTCGAGTCCTCGGTAGGTGGGTTCACGAGCCCGTGTCCTCCCTCCGTCGTCGACGTGATCATCCTCGTCCGCCTGTCCCCACCTCTCTTCCTGTCTCTCAATCCCTTTTTCCCCAAACAGTGCTCTTGGCATCGCTCGGACTTGTGCATGTTTCCTTCGGCGAGGACCATCGAGGAGCATCCTTGATCATTTGGCGAAAAACCACACACGAAACCGAAAAAAACACAGGGAATGGACGTTCGAGCGATGGCGAGTGCTTGCTCTCAAGTAAGGGCTCTCATTGTCCAAGGAACTGGGCCTGCGGGCCGCTCTGGCCGCCACATGGCCGCCTCGTCGCCGCCCATCGCCGCGCGTCCTCTGGGCGGGCGGCTCTGGCCGCCACGTGGCCGCCGTCGCCGCCTCGTCGCCGGCCGTCGCCTCGTCACCGCTCGCTCTGCACTGTTTTGCATTGCTTGGAATTGATTGGCACTGGTTTGCATTGCTTTGTGTTGTGTTGCATTGTGTTGCTTCACTTTGCTGTGCTTTGCTGCGTCATTGCGTTGTAATCGCACGGCTTTCCAATCGCATTGCATTGCATTGTTTTGTTCCATTGTTTTGCATTGCGTTGCATTGCTTTGCTCCACATAGAGGTCACCATATGGATGGCACCACCTCGATTGCACCACATTGGTTGCACAACCTAGACTGCACCGCATAGAGTGCCAGAAAACCGCTGTTCGGGGTCCACGCTGGCTAACACCCTTATGAGAACTCCTCCCTGTCGCACTCCTGGACGTCTCGGTAGGGCGGGCCCAGCGGATCGCCAAAGACCCCCTCACCATTTGTGAGATTGAAGTTTGGCAGCTGCAACAGCTCCAAGGATGGAGGACGGTACGTTTTTGACACGGAGCCCTTGCCTTATCGCCGCGCACATTCGTTCTACACGTCTGCAGCAGGTAAAAGGGTGGAGGGGGGTGGTCTTCAAAATTGGGTTCTTCATTTTACAGGTTCGCAGCAGCTTCAAAGATGGAGGGTGGCTCAGTCGTTTGAAAAGTTCGCAACAGCTGCAAGAAAGCAGGGAAGGGCGTTTTCAAACTGGGTCCCTTGTTTTTGTGGCGCCTGCGCACATTCTCTTCCAAGCTCTGCAGCGGCTCAAAGATGGAGGGCGGTTCCTTTCCAAGAGGGGGCTCTCGCCCCAACGCAGCGCACATTCGTTTTCAAAGCCTGCAACCGCTTCACGGATGGAGGAGGAATGGTTTTCAAAATGGGGCTCTCGCTCTAGCGCCGCGCGCATTCGTCTTACAGTCCTGCGTCGGACACAGGGATGGTGGGCGGGGCGGCTCCTTGTCACAGTAGGACGCCCGCTTCAGATCTTAAACTTGAAGACCAGGAACTTCAACATATGCAACAATTGCACCATTGAAGGGCTGACCCTTTTCAGCACTGAGCGTCATCTGGAAACTTCCGTAAAGCAAACGACCAGATACCTGAACTGATGGTAGAGCTACACAGATGTAAGGCGGCTCCTTTACAACATGGTGTGTTCGATTAGACGTACTCGACGCCCATGGCCAGAAGTGAAACATGGGCAAGAACTAGATAGGTGGAGACGGTCTTTTGTCAAAACGGTGATCTCGTTGGAAAACTCGCTGAACTGTGTGACCATCCGTGCGCACATTCGTTGATCTCTAGTCGCTGAAAGGATGCAAGGCAGTTAGTTCCTTTTCGAAGCGGGGCTCTCGTCCGAATGACAGGCCTATCGAGCATTGTTCTTTCACAAGGGACAGGACCTACGAGGAGGGAACTTGGGACGGGAGGAAGTATTGCGGCATCTTCGTTGCATCTTGGGTTCACTCTGTTCCACTGCCTCCTCATTGCCCTTGGCCTTCCTGTGATAATCCGTCTCCCTTTTCGTTCCTCCTCACCATCATCATAATCATCACCATGATTGTTAGTACTCATCATCTGCATTCGTCTCGGCAACTACGTGGCATCCCCCCGTCCTGTAAGTCGCTGGGTCATCCTCGTCATGATCACCGCCACCATCGTTATCATCACCATGACCATCCTGCCCCCACGCACGTCTGAAACAGTACCTTGACCCTCCAAGGGAGGGGTGCGCCTTGGTCACGAGGGTTACCTTAACGGGCGAAGAACGGTATAAAATAAACGTTTTCGCTGTCGGGGGCGCCTGTCCCAGGACGGCTGGAAAGTTTATACCCTTACGGTGGCACCGTAGGGGTATAAACTTTCCAGCAGCCCAGGGACAGGCGCCCCCGACAGCGAAAAAGTTTATTTTATACCGTTCTTCGCCCTTCAATACTACCGCTCTGCGCGTCCGGGCCGAAGGGATGACCACCCCTTGGGAGCGGCGCAGGAGCGCGAAGAGCACCGCGCGCAGCGCGGCCTCGAAGCTCGAAGTGAGGTGGACTCAGTGCCAGGGGAGGGGCAGGGGGCAGCCAAGCCTCTCGTCCTCCTCGTCCTCCTCCTTCTTGTCCCCTCAGCCTTGTCCTCGTCGTTCTCCTCCTCCTCCTCCCCATCCTCCCATCCTCTTCTTCCTCCTCCTCCTCCTCCTTCTCCTTCTCCTCCTCCTCCTCCTCCACCTCCTCCTTCTCCTCGCCTGCCAGCGCGAGGTGCTCTGCGCCTGGGGGGGGGTTCGATGTGTGCCGCCCAGGAGGGCCCGCTGCGAAGCCACCCGGGAGGCGTGACGCGGACGGAGGGAGGGCATGCGAACCGAACCCTTCGTGCGCACGGGTCGCCTCCCAGCACGCGGGGGTTCAGCGGACTGCTCCTCGGATCGGCCTCGCGGTCGCTGGCCGACGCCGGCAAGCCCGACTCGAGGTGGACGACGTTCTTCGTGCAGTGCTTCTACTTGGCCGCCATGTCTGGCGCCGGGAAGGCGCTGCACTATGCGGTCCGCATCATCATTTTCGTATTGGCAGGTCCCACCGATCTGAACACCCAGGAGATACATTGGCACCACTTGCAGGCATGGGTCACATGTCTCCTGGTGCTGTCAGCTATTGCCTGGTGCATGCTGTCGTCGAATCTGCCAAACCAGATGGATAACCCACTGCTCACGGACCCAAACTCAAAGATTAACCTCACGTGTCAGCAGTATGTAATTGTCTACACCTGGGCGTTCGCAGTCGTCAATTTCGGATGGACAGCTATATACACCTATGTCGGAGGTGTGGTGATTGGGTCGTACTACGTCGGCATGTTTTTGTTCTTGTGCTGGCTGGTAGTGACTTTGGTATTCGCCTGCGCTCTCGCAGTAACTACGCCTGACAACAATTTTTACGACATGGGCACGGGGAACCAGAAGAAGGCGGCAGCATGCTTGATGAACTATTGGCTCGTGGACTTCATCACCTGGTGGGCTCAAGCACAGCTCGTGACCAGCCTAGACACAGATGTAGCCACTCTGGGCAAGGAGGGAGCTCGGCTAGACCCGACCTCTTGGACCACCATCGGTATCAACTTCTTGGTGCTGCTAGCAGCGCTGTTCGTCGTCGGAGCGGTGCACGCTTGTAACGAGGAGGCCCTGATGGAACAGGTGGACAAGAAGGACAAGCACAAGGCGAAGGCAATCAGCGAAGACGAAGACTCCAAGTACGCATCGGTAAGCAGCGATGAAGAAGACTCGGAGAGCTCCGGGGCCGAGGACTGAGTCCGACTGGTGGTGTCCAGGCCATGGGGGGAGGGGATCCGCCTCGATCCTCAATCCTCCTCGATCCTACTCGACGCTCGAACATCGATCCTGCTCGATCCTCCTCGATCTCGATGCTCGATCCTCCTCGATCTCGATGCTCGATCCCACTCGGTTCTCAATCCTCCTCGGTCCTTCTCGATCCTCTGTCCTACTCGATCCTCGATCCTACCTCGAGGAGGCGAGGGGGAGGGGGAGAGGTTGGAGGGGGAAATGGGCAAGCTAGGTGCGCTCGCGTCATATCTGACGTGCTACCCCTCCCTCCCATCCCTTACCATGGCGCAGACCTCCTCCCTATTCGCACAATCGGATGTCGTAGGATGGCATAGCATTACATGGCATAGCATGGTGTTGAATATGAACGCGTAGCATGAAATAGCATGGCGTGGCGTCGCCCCAACATGAGGGGGGGGGTTCTGCGGCCCAGAAAATCAACGAAGCGACACCGAATGTGTAACCACTTCTTCTTTTTTCAGTGGGGGGGCGGGGCATTTTCTAGATTTGCGCGCCATTTGGAAGGACCGACAACCATGCCGTGGCATGGCGCTGGAAATAATGACGCCAGCGCTGCAGCAGGAGCACGATTCGGAACGAGCGGAAGCGCGGAAATGAGGCCAGCGCTGCAGCGGGAGCACGATTCGGATCGAGCGGTAGCCCGAAAATGAGGCCAGCGTTGCAGCGAGAGCAGCATTTTGACAAACAACCCAAGCGCGGAAGCGCGAAGATAAGGACGCGTAGCCTGACGTAGCATAGCGTGGCGACGCCGAAAAGTGGGGGGCTTCTGCGGACCAGAAAATCAACGAAGCGACACCGAATGTGTAATCACTTCCGATGGGGGCAGTTTCTAGGTTTGCGCACCATTTGGAAGGACCGACAACCATGCCGTGACATGGCGCTGGAAATAATGACGCCAGCGCTGCAGCGGGAGCACGATTCGGAACGAGCGGAAGCGCGGAAATGAGGCCAGCGCTGCAGCGAGAGCACGATTCGGATCGAGCGGTAGCTCGAAAATGAGGCCAGCGCTGCAGCGAGAGCAGCATTGTGAAACAAAAACATACAACAACAACAGCAACGGCAAAAACAAATAGCGCGGAAGCGCGGAAATGAGGACGCGTAGCCTGACATAGCATAGCGTGGCGACACCCCAAAGTGGGGGTGGGACTTCAGTGGAGCAAAAAATCAACGAGTCGACTCCGAATGTGGAATCAGTTCCGATGGTTTTTTCGGGGAAGCATGTTTTTGGATTTGGGGGCCTATTTGGAAGGATCGACAACATGCTTTGGCGTGGCGCTGGAAATAATGACGCCAGCGCTGCAGCGGGAGCACGATTCCGAACGAGCGGAAGCGCGGAAATGAAGCCAGCGCTGCAGCGGGAGCACGATTCGGAACGAGCGGTAGCCCAAAAATGAGGCCAGCGCTGCAGCGAGAGCAGCATTTCGGACAGAAACCCAATCGAAAACCCGTTTCCCAGGAATCTTTCGCGTAGACAGCCAGGGCGCGGAGGGGGGCCGGCCATTTCCCAGACGCCAACAGGGGAGAGGAGAGTAGTATTCAGATTCTGTAATTGTGGAGGGGACAAGACAACACGCCCTGGGATCCAGAGGGGCTCCACGTCACGGTTCTGCCGCGGCACGCTTCAGCCAGCGGAGGGGCAGGTTTACGAAGTCTTTGCTTAGCCACGTGGCCACAGTCCCAGCTCTCGACGTGCAGGCGGGATCGACACAGCATTAAGTCGGGCCTGTCCCTCTGAATATTCAAAAATAGTCAAAACATAGTCGGGGGACTATTGTTTTACTACTTGTTTTGAATATGTTGGGTTTACTATGTTTGATTTGTTTGAACATGTTGGGGGGACGTTTTATTTGTCGTCCTAAATCAGCGTTTAGGGGGACACGCCCGACCTAAGCACAGCACTCCGACGACGCGGCGGGGACAGAGGAGTGAGCGGCTGGACTTGAGGCGAGGCGCCAGGCGAGCGGCGAGGCGGAGCGGTTCGGGGCGGGCAGCAGCAGGGAAGGGGGAGGGGGCAGGGAGGAGGGCGTTCCAGAGAGGGCCTCGCCTTCGAGGGATCGAGGTGTCGACACCACTCTGTGGGGCTGCAGGGCTATTGGGGGAATCCGCCGAGCAGAGGATGATGGAGGCGAGGGGGTTCCCAGGGCCCCCCGCGCCTGGAGCAGCTCCAAGGTCAGGCTGTTCCAGGCTCTGGGGGGGGCAGGGTCCTGCGGCGCTGCCACCGCAGTGGACAGCCCGCTTCGGAGTCCCAGCGCTGGCCACTTCGGCTGTGAGAGTGGCGTCGCGCTGTGTAAGCCGGCCGCCTGACGACCTGTCGCAGCAAGCCCTTGTTTCAGCACGGCTAGCGCAGGCCACCTTTTCCAGCTGGTGTGTCCCGGGGTCCCCTCCAGCCGTGGAGGCGAGTGGCACCACGCCCCAGCAGCCCGCCTGGCAGCCGCGCCAGCTGGCTGCAGAGCCACGCAGCACGCCAGCGCAGCACGGCCACGCTGGTGCGCACCCCGTCCATTGCACACGTCGGCGCCCTGACGGGGCGCGTCACGCCCCCTCGGCCGCTGCAGGCGACGTCGTGGGCCGCGGCCCTGGGCAACCGAAAGGCAGCCGGCTTTCGCGGACGTTCCCCGTCAAGACGCCTTTCCAAAACGGATTGTGGATGAAAGCAAGCAATGCCTTCCGAACCGCACAATCGATGTCTGGATGGTAGCCCAATTGGAGCCACACAACATTTCGCAGGATGCCGCGTCGTGCTGCACGCAAACACGGCACCCTGTCTCGGAGCAAAACATCTAATTGACGTGGGGTGTATGATTGAGAGAGCCTACCACGTACAGTTGCGACAGCTTCCTCGAAGAATTCTGCGTGGGAACACAAAGCCTTCAGAGAGTGGAGTCGTGCACGGGGCCAGGACACATGCACATGGATAGGGTGACAACTAGAAAAAGAGAGGGGTGTAATTAAAGATGTGACTTTAAACTTAGGCTTACAAGCTATGCTACCGCTGCGTCTAAACAGTGTGAGCTCCAGCCACCCTATGGACTCACGGCCGCCTCCAGACACGAGCAGCTTGAAGTAGCCGGCACGCTCTTTGATGGCCTGGTAGAACGCATAAGCTTTAGCTAAGTCTTTGTAGATGCACAAAATGTCATCTCGAAACCTGAGGTAGTGTGTAATACCATGAGCGAAACAGTTGTTGATGGCCCATCGCTCCATACGATTGGCCAGCGCAAGGTCGGACAGGTCGCCGCTGTGCTGCAATCCCATGCCCGTTCCTTTCACAACCTTCCACACACGACCTGGGAAATTTCGAGAAACAACATATTGATTGTACAGAAGCAGGTAGAGTGCACGTCCCAATAGTTGCCTTTCCCGTCCAGTAAATGACACCAACACGTATTCAACCAACGACTCCGCGTCGCCGCTCATGAAGAAATCCTTGACGTTAAATGTTAGGAAACCTTCGGATTGACTCATGGGTCGGTGCATCAGTCTCCTCGCAGCTTCTCTGCTGTCTTTCACAACATGTCCCAACTCATTGAGTTTCGCCCTGAGCCTCCTGGAGACCCAATGGGACAATCCTGCAAAAACGAACTTCCAAGCAGCGTGCACGTTGCGAAATACGACTGGAGACTTATGCGTTTTGCACGTTTTCAACAGGCGGGATCTGATCGAACCACCAGGTGTAAACATTGAACGCATGATGTCTTTAGCGATGGGCGTGCCTTCCTCGTGCTGTATATCACGAGCCAGCGCTGTGTACTCTTGCGCGGGCCCATTGAAATCGTACCAGCCATCCGGAAGTTCTTCGTAGTCGCCATTCGTGAAGAACTCCATGTCAATCGACACGTCAGCCTCCACAGGGACCAGTGTGTAGCCCATTTCTTAGTCGTTCTTGACTGGGACATGATGTAAATCACGCAGGAGACGGAACGATAGGCGAACAAGTGGGAACACGTTGGTGGTTCTCTGGCAGTGCTTAAGGTGCCGCCGTCGTTTCAAAACATTGTTCAAGATATGACGCTGCAGTGCGTCAGTCCAGAATTTCAAGCCGAGAGGGATTGTTGCCGAGCAGGGGGGAGTGATCCAGCCACGCACCCTGTACGGCAATGCTTGTTCCTCATCGGGCTCCTCGCGACAGCACCGGTGATGCACCTTGTTAATGAAAGAAACCACATCCTTTCTGACGTTCGCCACGTTGGGGAGCATACCAGGGCAGAAAACATGCTTATGGTGAAAATGAGTCAACAACCACTCCACCGGCCAAGGCACTGCGTCTGACGGGCGGACTGCCCGATTCCGAGGGTCATATACGTACACTTTGGAAGCTTTGGCGTTGTACGGCATGATGGAGAGCCAATCTGCGAAAGACGCGCCTCGCATCATGCTCTCGAGCTACTGGCCCTTCTGCCAGCGGCGCCGCGACTCCCTCAGGTCCTTGTGTTTGGACCTTTGCGTGGCGGCCCACGCTTTCCACGGTCTGTACCTGGACGACCCTTCTGCTTGCCTTTGCCTTTGCCCTTGCTCTTGTCTTACCAAAGTCAAGGGTCGCCCTTGCCCTTGCCTTTCTTGCCTGCCTTGCCTGTGGACTTGGCGCCAGCCTTCGTGCTCCCCAGAGCTGCCGCCGGGGCCCCACCGTTTTTTGACCTCCGCGGTTCTATGACTGCGTTCACGACGTCGGCAATGGTACCCGGAGCCTGCGGCACGCCCATGTCGGAGTCCAGCGATATCAACCCTTCTTGGTTCAATCGCTCGTCCACCTTCCGAGCAACCACTTCTGCTAACAACTCCTCAGGCTGCGCTTTCAAAATTTCCTTTTCTTGCCTCATGCGATCCTCCTTTTCCTTCTGTGCGTCTTCATTATTTTTCTCTTCAGAGCGATGTACCCTGTCTATCATCTTCGAATACAACGTTTCAATCTTGGCACTCGCGATCGATGGCTCGATCGGCTTCTTCAGGGGCGCCTCAAGGCCCAGCTCGGTGGCAGCTCGGTGGCATGGTGTTTCGTGACGTTCTCCAAAATCGTACTGGCCATTTTCACGAACTCTTCCTTAGTAACGTTGCTCCTCAACGATTGCTCGTGGGTCTCCAGCGCCTTCACGGTGGACTCTTTGAAGAAACGCCACATGCCACGGTGAACAACCCGCATGGCCTCCCGGACGGAAGACCCTCTGGGAACCACCACCCTGACAACAAAATCCTCAGAACGTGCCTCTGGCAATTCAATATCAAGTTCTGTTGCAGTGGAGCTCGTTTTGAAGGCCCGCACCCCCATTAGGAGAATTATCGTTGTCGTTACTTGTCAAAATAGCAACCTCGCCGCGTGCTTTCTCTAACGCGGCCTTAGTACGCATGAGTTTAGACACATTCTTCTCGAAAGCAAAGGTACGTTTTTCCAATTCTTTGTTCACCGCGTCTGGGATGTTCATGGTGTACTGCTCCCGCTGCTGCATGGCAGCGCTGACCACAACCACCGGGGCGGTCGCCTGAGCCAGCGGGGCAGGCGCAGGTGCAGGCACAGAAGGCGGCGAAGTATGCGCCAACATTGCTGCTTGCATTGTTTGGAGCATTTGCTCTTGTCATTTCTGCTGCCTCTCTTGCAGGTCGGCCTGCATGCGCATGATGAGCTGGATGTTAGCCTGTTGATTTTCTTATGCAATACGCTGTTGTTCACGCATAAATGTAGAACATTGCGATGGATTGCCATTCCCATCACCGTCATCGTCACCCCTGCGACCACTACGGCTCCTGCGACTCCCAGCCGCAGCATCCGTACCAGCACGACGACTCTGATTCCCCTCCGCACGCTCCATCGCGCGCTGGAAAGACGGAGGGCTTGTGCCGCGCCCAGGGTCGCCTTCGTGCGCCGTCTGGTAGAAATTCAAGAAACCGAGAACCGAAAGAATGGGCTACCAGGAATCGCACTGTGTTGAAATCTCTTTTTCTGTACGCAAGATCACTCAATTCACTATGCTGTGCCGGCAAAGTGTCAAGGGACCGACCTTCAGATTCGGTATTGGGGCTTAGATCCTGTCACCGCTCCCTTGAGAGCCAGAAAACTACGAGCGCGAGAAATTGAATGAGAATAATAATGATGATGATGATGATGATGATGATGATGATGATGATGATGATGATGATGATGATGATGATGATGATGATGATGATGATGATGATGATGATGATGATGATGATGATGATGATGATGATGATGATGATGATGATGATGATGGTGGTGGTGGTGGTGGTGGTGTGGTGGTGGTGGTGGTGGTGATGAGAGGAGGAGGATGATGATGATGATGATGGTGATGATGATGATGATGATGATGATGATGATGATGATGATGATGATGATGATGATGATGATGATGATGATGATGATGATGATGATGATGATGATGATGATGATGATGATGATGATGATGATGGAGGCGAGGGGGTTCCCAGGGCCCCCCGCGCCTGGAGCAGCTCCAAGGTCAGGCTGTTCCAGGCTCTGGGGGGGCAGGGGCCTGTGGCGCTGCCACCGCAGTGGACAGCCCGCTTCGGAGTCCCAGCACTGGTCACTTCGGCTGTGAGAGTGGCGTCGCGCTGTGTAAGCCGGCCGCCTGACGACCTGTCGCAGCAAGCCCTTGCTTCCGTACGGCCAGCGCAGGCCACCTTTTCCAGCTGGTGTGTCCCGGGGTCCCCTCCAGCCGTGGAGGCGAGTGGCACCACGCCCCAGCAGCCCGCCTGGCAGCCGCGCCAGCTGGCTGCAGAGCCACGCAGCACGCCAGCGCAGCACGGCCATGCTGGTGCGCACCCCGCCCATCGCACACGTCGGCGCCCTGACGGGCCGCGTCACGCCCCCTCGGCCGCTGCAGGCGACGTCGTGGGCCGCGCAGGGCCCTGGGCAACCTGCGACCAGAGCCCTCGGCCACTGCACGCGGCGTCCCCGGGCAGGCTGCCAGCTCCACGGCGCGGCTCCGCGTGGCCGCTCGCCCCGCCGCAGATCCGGCGTCGCCGCCGTGCCCCGCTTCCGTGCGGACGTGGGCCCGCACACGTCCTGCCACCACCAGTCGCGCGCGTGGGCCCCCTGTCGGGAGTTTGGCGGCGCACGCCAGGCCCTGGCGGCTGGCGACCGGAGGGGGGGTCGGACGGGGACGGGGCGCATGGGGAGAGGCGCAGGCGAGAGGGGTCGGGGAAGGGCAGAGTGGGCGGGGCGAGGGGAGGGGAGGGAAGAGTGGGGTGAGGAGGAGGAGGAGGAGGAGGAGGAGGAGGAGGAGGAGGAGGAGGAGGAGGAGGAGGAGGGGCAGGCCTGAGGGAGTGGAGGGGGGGGAAGGAGAGGGGAGAGGGGAGAGGGGAGGCGATAGTGGGGAGGGAAGAGGCAGGGGTTCATGGGGAGGGGGTTTGCACGGCGTCTGGCCAGCTCGGTCCATCTGTGACCGTCTGGGGCAGCTCGGTCTCTCTTTGACCACTTCGGTGGAACACGTGCTTGTTGCGGTCGGTCGGGCTTCCGCCACACTCGCGCGTAAGCTACACGTTTATGGTTGCGCGTGCGCGTCATCATTTTTGCGCGGCGCGCTGTAGAACGGAGCTCCCACAATACATGGGTCCAGCGGCCGTCGGTTGCGCACCAGTTCTTCGGATCCTATCACACCTCTTCTTTGCAGTGTTACTCGGTCAGGCCTCCTGCTCGCTATCGTGCAATATTCCCCCTGTCTTGATCATGCTTGTCCTCTCTTTCCTCCACCTCATACTCATCCTCCTTCCCGTCCTCATTCCTACTGGTCCTGCCCGTCCTAATCATACTCCCCCATCTTCCTCCTTGCCCTTCTCCTCATTCTGCTCCTTCCCCTCCACATCCTCCTGCTGATCATCCTCTTTCCCCTCCTCCGTCCCATCCCGCTCCACCTACTGATCCTGCTCCTCCTGATCATCCTTCTCCATCTCTCCTGTTCCCCGTACCACCGTCCCTTCGATCACGCTGCTTCTACTTCTCCTCCTCCCCCTATTCCGTCCCCCTTTGGTTTGTTAGTTGCTACCCTCTGCCCCCGTCTGGATGAAACGACCCTCTCGTTTCCTCCTCCAATCTCAATGTGCTTCCTTCCCGCTGCCCCGCCCCCCTCTGCTCGCCGAGGGCTTGACGACTCCTGTGGTTCCGGGACTCGCGCCGGATCTGCCACGATGTCTCCAGACGTCCACACGGACGCGTTCGGACACACCTCGATGGGCGCACCTGGGGTCAACACCAGCTCACGCCAACTTGCACCGCTGCGCACTGCTCCATCCCCACAGGAAGAGTCGCCAAGCCCTCGGAGGACTGCCTCCCTCGCCCACCGCGGGTCGGGCACTCCGAGCGGCGTCCAGGCGCGGCGGTCTCCGGCTGGCGACACGGCCCATCGCCCGGCGGCCTCCCGTTTTTGACATCGTGCGGCCGGCCTATTTGGCGTGGCTACCGCACGACCCTGGACGCCTGACTCGAAATAAGTACAAACGTGGGCATCAGCATCAACTCTCGGAGGTCCGCGCGGATTTCGTGCATCGGCGCCCGGCGCACCCTGGCGGCGCCTCCGGCGCCACCCCTGCCGCGCACCGACGCCAGGGAGGGGCTATAGAATAGCACCGAACCAAGAAATCCGCGCGGGCCTACGGAAGTTGATGCTGATGCTGATGTATATTTTGCTGCTGGCGCTTCGCTGGACCATCGACCTCCCCGCCAGGCGGTCGCTTTTTTCTGGTATCGTGCGGCCGATCGGGGTGGCCACCGCACGACACCCACGCATGGCGCCTCGCTGGACTATCGACCTGCCGCCAGGCGGCCGCTCCTTTTGAATTCTGGGCGGCCGTCCTGGGTGGCCATTGCGCGACCCTCTACATGCCCGGGGCGTCGCTGGACCATCGACCGTCTCCTCTTCCTCCTCGTCCTCCCCATCTCACCAGCCTCGAACTGATCCCTGTCCCTAAGATTGACATGCCGAAAGGTGATGGCAATCTTAGGGATGCGCCCTCAATAACTGAGGGAATCCCTAGGATTGGCATCGTGATGGGGCGATGCCCAGCATAGGGATAGGGATATGTTCCAGGCTGGTACCCACCTTCCTCCATCCCTCCATCCCTGTAAACAGATTTTCCTCGTCGCACCATCAGAAGAATCGTCGAGGCGGGCCGAGCGTTTCACCTGGGACCTCCCCGCCGCATGTGGCCCAGCAGCTCGAACTGTTCAGCGGCTGCGAAGTACGGCGGGGGCGTTGGTTAAGGAATCTGCCCAAGAGGCTTCAGACCCTGGAGGGTTCCTTAGCTGATGAGGGCGGCGGTGGTATCAATGGCCAATCCACGATGGGAGTTTCACCAGCTTCCAGACCCTGGATTCCTGATCTGGAGGTTCCTTACCCCATGCCCTCACCGTAGTATTGGGGCGGGTGGCTTTCAAAATTTGGCTCCGGGCTCAGCACCGCGCACATGTACCTTACGTTTCCACTATCTAAGCGGATTCAGGAGGGGAAAAACACACAGACACAATTAGTCGTCGATTCCCAGGAGTATATGGACAATGCGGGGGAAGACGATATTGAGAATATTGGTATTTGTGCGCATTCATGCGTGTGTGTGTGTGTGTGTGTGTGTGTGTCCCTGGGCCCCTTCAAGGGTAGAGGGCGAACCATCTTCAACATGTGGTGCTCGCTTTGGCGCCGCGCACACCCGGCGTGAAAGTACCAAAGAGTTCCAGAGAGGAGGGCGAGCCGTTTTCAACATGTGGCGCGTTCGAAGTGTGAAAGTCGATTTGGCACAGCGCACACGTTCGTTGTGAAAATTCCCCACAGCTCGTTTTTAAACTGTGGCGCTCGCCCTGGAGTCGCTAGCATTCGTGTTGAAAAAGGCCTCAACAGTCATGAGGATGGCGGACACCAGGATTCAAAGAGTTACGCAACTACACGGGTGGAAAGTGCATCCCTTCTAAAATGACCGTCTCTTCTGATATCGCTTCAACAAGATCACAATGACCATACAGTGCTATAACACGTGCACTGATGGAGGGCGGCTCCTTTTCAAGACGCGCCGATCGTTGAAAACCGATTTGAACTGCGAAGTCAAACGTACAGCGTCGCACTCCGTATCGCCAGAAGGGTGTATGTCAGCTCATGCTTCAAAATGGGCTCACCTGAATGGTCTGTTCATGGGGCGCTCGTTGTTCAAGTGGCGCGTCCTGCGGTGAAAAGGAATATTGTAAGAATTGACTTGTGATGGCGGCACTTTGGACGGGATAGGCGCAACGCATTCTCATCGGCGGATATTGGGTTAATTGCGGTCCTCTTGTTTGCGTTAGGCGGACTTTAGAAATTAGGCTGTAGCGTGTTGGCGGCAAGAAAAAATAGTAGTAACACCGCTTGAGTGCAAGACTAAGTGAGCACGAAGTGCGAAGAGAAACGGAAACAGAAAGAGCCCACGCGGGTTTAGAGTATTAGATTTGTACGTGGTCGTCCTCCTTCTCCTTCTCTCGCTACTCGTTTGTCTTCCCCCGTCAACCGCCCCTTCCATCTTCCCTCGCCCCTTCGCCTCTCCCAGGGCAGGCGCTGCTGGACCCACTACAGCTGGCGCATTCGCTTGACCGTCAGCCTTCTCCTCCTCCTCCTCCTCGTCCTCCTCTTTGCGGCGGCGCGCACAGGGGAATAGGGGGAGGGAGGAAGGCGTCTTAGAAGCACCCTGCGTCTTAGAAGGTGCGGGCCTTATCTATAGATGAAGGGCCCGCGCTTTCTAAGAAGCAGACTCCTTCTAGAATCGTTCCGCCTCCCCCATGTGCTCTCGTCGTTGTCGCTTGGGACGCTGTTGGGTGTTTGGAGAAGTTCTCGTCGCCACGGCTGGACGCGGCTCGAAAAATTGGCCTGGATGGACCCTTGAGGGCAGATTCTGAGTTGATCAGAGTGAGGGGGCCGAACGGTCATTCATTGTCCCTGGCCGTGTGGTTGAAGGGGAGTTCCGCGATGCGGATTGTTGTTGCGTTGTTGTTGCGTCAGTGGTGTTGCGTTGTTATTGCGTTGGTGTGTTGTTGTTATTGTTGTTGGTGGTGTTGTTGTTGAATTCTCATTCCTGAAGAATAATTATTGTTGATCCCCCCCACCAGTGCATACTGTTTTTTCTCAATCAAAGTGTGCCCCTCGACGCTCGCACCCTGTTTTTTGACAGTGAAAGTCTTCCTGCTCAAACTGGCCCCCTGGCCCCCGGGTTACAACAACAACGGCTCCCGCTTGAGACTTCCTTACAATGTAGCGAGGACCCCCGCTCCCGCCCGAGACTTCCTCGCTCTCGCTTTGGACTTCTTTACAATTTATTGAGGAATCGCTTTCCCGGCGCTCTGGAGTCGCGCTCTCGCTGGAGACTTGCTTGCAACTTACTGAAGAGTGGCCTTGCGTGGGAATTTCTTGCAATTTGCCCAAGCGCCGCGCGCCCGACACCCAGGCACCCAGGAGTCGCGCCCGTTGTGGCCCCATGTGCATGCCCTTCGTGGCCCCGCTGTCGCCATTTGTGTCCCCCTCACTGTCCTACGTGGCCCAGTTGCTACCCTCAGTGGCCCCATAGTTGCCTTCTGTGGCCCCGCATTATCTGCACTTCGTGGCCCCCGCTCGTTCGCGCTCTTCGTGGCCCCATACGCATTCCCTTCGTGTCCCCGCTGTCGCCCTTCGTGGCCTACTTCGTGCCCTTCGTGGCCCTGCTGTCGTTCTCTCTCGCTCTCGCTTTCGCTCGTCGTCGCCGTCGTCGTCGTCGTCGTCTTCGACGTCGTCGTCGTCGTCGTCGTCGTCGTCGTCGTCGTCGGTCGGTCCCCTGTCCGTCCCTCTTGGGGTCGGGTCGACGGTCCGCGGCCGCCCCGCCGATCAGCGCTGCCGCTGGCCAGGCCGACGGTCCGCGGCCGCCCCGCCGCTTGCCGGGGCCCGGCCTGCAGGGAAGAAAGGTATACCCCCCAAAAGGGGTTCGATCGAAGACGAAGAGGGCGGGTATCGAGGATTTGGGAAATACGCGTTATTGGACACTCGAGCTTATCAGGGCGAACAGTCTTGAAATTATTGTTGTTGTTGTTGTCGAGCTCTTCATTTCGAAGTAATAATGTTGTTGATCCTCCCTGCCTGGTGCACATTACGTTTTTCAACGGAAGTGTTCCTTCTGGGGCTTATCAGGGAAAGTCTTGGTGTTCAAACTGGCCACATGGCCCCGGGGTAACAACAACAACAACAACAACAATTACTAGCACGTGGGGACACTCCGTTCTCACCAGTGCCAGGGTTTTCATAGGAGGCGGGCAATACCCCCACTTTGTGGGGGGGCCGGTTCAAGCTCTACCAAATTTCCAAACGACTCTTCGCCACCACCCACACCCAGCTTCCCGCCCTATGACGTTCGGACACTTCACTTCGTGGCATGCGGACGACCGTGGCTACTATTCAGGGCCCCGCGGCCGACGACGACGGCGTGCGCGCGCGAAGAAAAAACGAATGTGTCCCGCATGGTATTATTTGACAGGGATGATGGCCCTGGCAGGTGCGCAACCGTTGTTGCAGAAGTTCGAAAAAGTTGCTCGCAAAAGCCCGTTTGACAGAAATGTTTAAAAAGTGTTGGGTTTCCTACGAATCCGCAAGAGCGCGCGGGATGAAATTTTGACAAGTTTTTTTTTGAAAAACCATTGGTTTTTTGATGTTTTTATGTTAAAATCGCTACGAAAACTAAGGTTTTGGAAGGATTTCGTCTTGCGCGCGCGAATGTCCACTTTACCTTATTTTTTGCAAGGGATTCTTGAAGTTTGGCTATGTTAGAACAAGAAATGTCCACTTTAGCTTTTTTTTGCAAGGGAAAGCGGGGGGGAACAAAACAACCGGATCCGGACCGAGACTTCCTCACGAAAATGATGAAAATGTGGCTGCGGCCTAGGCGCGGCGGGGGGGCCGTGCACCAGGGGCCCCAACAATAATTATTCTTTAGAAGTAATAATGTTCAACAACAACAACAACAATAACGGCTCTCGCCTGATACTTCCCCACAATGTGTTTGAGACACGCGGTCTCGCGCAGGACTTCCTCACAACGTATAATGGAATCGCGCTCTCGATTTTTGGATGTTCAAACGATTTACCTGGGAACCGCGCTATCGCTCGAAACTTCGTGCGTGATGGATTGACGCTTCAGCGACCCGCCCGCTCGACCTGGCCGTTTGGGCCCGCCCGCCCGACCTGCCAGTCTGATTATGCTGCTTGCACTCTTGTTCCTAACCCTCATGCAATCTCTCTCTCGTGCTCCATCCTTCTCCCTCCCCCTTGTCTCTTCCCTCCTCCTTTCCTTCCCTTGTTTTCGGGGCTGCGCCAACTACACGCGGCAGGTAAGGAAGATATGCCCCCAAGAGGGGTACGATCGAAGACGAAGAGGGCGGGCATCGAGGGTTCGGGATATACGTATTTTATGGAACGCCAGCAGGTAAGAGCGAACAGTCTTGAAATTATTGATGTTGTCGCCGTCCTTGCCGGCGACCCACCCCGCGACCAACTCCGCGACCCACCCCGCGACCCACCCTGCGACCCACCCGCGACCCACCGGCGAGCCACCCACGCTGCTTTGACGAAAAAATCGGCGCCTGGGGCGGGCTCGTTGCGCAATGTTTAAAAATCGGCACCTGCGGCTGGCGTCGTCAGAGCCCCGCAGACTGCCGACGACCCCACTGCCCCCTCACTCTTATCCGCAACTGCGGGGTGCTATATGATATTAAGCATTTCCTGGAGATCCAGGCGGCGCGCAACAAAAACACGGCGGTCGTCTTTACTGCATGTCCGGCCTTCGAGGGCCGTTTCCCCACCAAGGGGCCGTCAGCCCCAGGGACGATATGTTCGGGCAACGTCACAAACAAATGCGTCGTCGTCGGAGGAGCTAGTTTGTCTTCTCCTCCCCCTCCTGCTCCTCATCTGCCTCCTCTCTCCCCTCCATCCCTCCTTCCCCCTCCCTCCCCCGTCTCCGCGTCGCCGTCGCATACGACTGGCGCCTGACGCGTGAGTGCAGTCTTGACCGAAGTCCAAAGTCGTCATCATTACTGCGAGGCAGCTCCGACGAAGCACCGCACGCCGTTTACATTGCACGCTGTCTGGGCGGAGGCCGTCTCTCGTGCTGCCCGCCGCAGCAGCCGGCTGCGATCGCTGCCAGCGCAGCATTGCACAGGGTAGGAGAGGAGAACAGGAGGAGGAGGAGGAGGAGGAGGAGGAGGAGGCTGACACGACAAATAAGAGGTCAGGGGGGGGGACGCGGCCGAGGATAGGAATGGTGAGGCTGAAGGGGAGAAGGAAGGGACGGGGGACGGGGGACTGGGACGGGGACGTCGGCTGAAGACAGGGATCAGGACGGGGACGGGGCCGACGGAGAGCGCAAGGGTCCAAAAGAAGGTGGACCAGGAAGGGACCAGGAGAAGGAGGAAGAAGAGGAGGACGACGACGACGACGGGATGGAGGAGGGGGCGTGAGGAGGAGGAGGAGGCACTCGTCACCGCGGAGCACCGCGCGGCGCACGGGTCGGCGCGGCGCGCGGCACAACACCCGGCACAGCACGACCAGGCACGCGGGCATTGCCGACGGCACCCCGCCTCGTGGCCCAGGCCGGCAGCGGCGGCGAGGGGCAAGCAGCGAGTCGCCAGCGCCGGACCCCCCCCGCACCCCCTTGCAGCGACGGCAACCTGATCGCCCTCATCTTCTCGCTGAAGGATGGTGGGCAGTTTTCCGTAGCCGGGCGCCCATGCCAGGCCCAGGGACCAGCAGGAACGATTCGGTATGGAAAGTTGGTTCCGTGTGGGAGGTGCGGACCTCTAGGGGTTCGCGTATAAAGCTTATCGTCGGAGTTATGGATAGTCCTCCTGCCACCAGGCAGAGTGGTGTGTTGTGCTGTGCTGTGCTGTGCTGTGTTGTGTTGTGTTGTGTTGTGTTGTGCTTGTGCGTGCGTACGTGCGTGTGTGTGTGTGTGTGTGTGCTTGTGGGTGTGGGGGTGTGGGGGTGGGTGGGGGGGGGGGAGGGGGAAAGGTGGTGGTGGGTGTGGGGGGGGGTGAGCGTGCGCGTGTGCGTGTGCGTGTGCGTGTGCGTGTGCGTGCGCGTGTGCGTGTGCGTGTGCGTGTGCGTGTGCGTGTGCGTGTGCGCGTGTGTGTGTGTGTTTGTGTGTGTGTGTGCGTGTGTGCGCGTGTGCGCGTGTGCGCGTGTGTGTGTGTGTGTGCGTGTGTGTGTGTGTGTGTTTGGTGTGTGGGTGTGTGGGTCGGGGTGTGGGTGTTTGGGTGTGTGGGTAAGTGGGTAAGTGGGTGTGTGGGGTAAGTGGGTGTGTGGGTAAGTGGGTGTGTGGGTAAGTGGGTGTGTGGGTGTGTGGGTGTCTGGGTGTGTGCGTGTTTGCGTGTGTGCGTGTGTGCGTGTGTGCGTGTGTGGGGGTGTGGGGGTGTGGGGGTGTGGAATTGTGTGTGTGGGTGTGTGGGTGTGTGGGTGTGTGCGTGTGTGAGTGTGTGGGTGTGTGGGTGTGTGGCGATGTGGGTGTATGGGTGTGTGGGTGTGTGGGGTGTGGGGTGTGGGGGTGTGGATGTGTGGGTGTGTGGGTGTGTTGGGGGTGCGTGGTTGTGTGGATGTGTGGTGTGTGTGGGGGTGTGTGGGTGTGTGTGTGGGTTTTTGGGTCTGTGCGCGTGTGTGGGTGTGTGGGTGGGTGTGTGGGTGGGTGTGGGGGTTGGTGTGGGGTGGGGGCGGGGGTGGAGTGTGGGTGGTGGTGGGGCGTCAGTGTTGGCGTGTGGGTGTGGTGGTGGGTGGGGTGGGGGTGGGGTGGGGGTGGGTGGGGTCGTGGGTGTGGGTGTGCGTGCGTGCGGCGTGCGTGCGTGCGTGGTGTGCGTGTGCGTGTGCGCGTGCGTGTGCGTGGTGTGTGTGTGTGTGCGTGTGTGTGTGTGTGTGCGTGCGTGCGTGTGCGTATGCGTGTGCGTGTGCGTGTGTGTGTGTGCGTGGGGTGTGCGTGTGTGTGTGTGTGTGAGTGCGTGTGTGTGTGTGTGCGTGCGTGTGCGTGTGCGTGTGTGTGTATGTGGTTGCGTGCGTGCGTGCGTGTGTGTGTATGTGTGCGTGCTCGTGTGCGAGTGCGTGTGCGTGTGTGAGTGTGTGTGTGTGTTTGTGTATGTAGGTGTGTGTAGGTGCGTGGGTGTTTGTATAGGTGTGTAGATGTGTTCAGGCGTGTGTGTGTGTGGTAGGTATTGGTGTGTGTATGGGTGTGTGTAGGTGAGTGTAGGTGCGTGCAGGTGTGGGTAGGTGTGTGTAGGCGTGTGTATGGTGTGTGTGTGTGTCTGTGTGTGCGTGCGTGCGTTCGTGCGTGCGTGTGTGTGTGGGTGGGTGGGTGCTCTTGTCTGCGGGTGTCTGTGTGTGTTTGTGTGTTTGCTTGTTTGTGTATGTGTCTGTGTGTCGGGGAGTATGTGTGTGTGTTGGTGTGTCTGTGTGCCTGTGTGCCTGGTGTGCCTGGTGTGTGTGTGTGTGTGTGTGTGTGTGTGTGTGTGGGGGGGGGGGGGGGGGGGGGGGGGGGGGGGTGTTTTGTGTGTGTGTCTGTGTGTGTCTGTGTGTGGTGTGTTGTTTGTTGTGTGTGGTGTGGTCGGTGTGTGGTGTGTGGTATGTGTGGTATGTGTGGTGTGTGGTGTGTGTGGTGTGGGTGTGTTTTGTATGTGTGTCGTGTGCATTGTGTGTGCTGTGTGTGTGTCGTGTGTGTGTGTGTTGAGTGTTGTGTGTTGTGTGTGGTGTGTGTTGTGCGTGTGGTGTGGGTGTGCTGTGTGTGTTGTGTGTGGGTGGTGTGTGTGTTGTGGGTATGGGTGTGGGTGTTGGTGTGGGTGTGGGCGTGGGCGTGGGTGTGGGTGGGTGGGTGGGTGGATGTGGGTGGGTGGGTGTGGGTGGGTCGGGTGGGTGTCTGTGTCTGTGTGTGCGTGTGTGCGTGCGTGCGCGTGTGTGTGTGTCTGTGTGTGTGGTTGGATGGATGGGTGTGTGGGTGTGGGTGTGTGCGTGTGTGCGTATGTGTCTGTGTGGGTGGATGGATGGGTGGGTGGGTGTGTGTGAGTGCTCGTGTGCGTGTACGTGCGTGCGTGCGTGCGTGCGAGCGTCGAGTGCGTGTGCGTGCGTGCGTGTGCGTGCGTGCGTGTGCGTGCGTGCGTGTGTGTGTGTGGTGCGTGTTTTGTGTGTGGTGTGTGTGTGTGTGCGTGTGTGCGTGTAAGTGTGTGTGTGTGTCTGTGTGTCTACATGTGTCTGCGTGTGCCTCTGTGTTTGTGAGTCTGTGTGTCTGTGTGTGCGTGTGTCTGTGTGTCTGTGTGTCTGTGTGTGTAAGTCTGTGTGTCTGTGTGTCTGCGCATCTGTTTGTCTCTGTGTCTATGTGTCTGGGTGTGTGTCTGTGTCTGTGTGTGTCTGTGTGTGTGCGCCTGCGAGCGTGCGCGCGTGCGTGTTTACCCCGTGCACCGCGGCTTCATCCGGAACTGTGCATCCTACCTTCGCTCCATCGCCCGCGCAGTGACTCTGCCTAGCCGCCGACGCAAAAGTGTGTGTGTGTGCGGCGTGTGTATGTGTATGTGTGTGTGCGTGTGGGGGGGATAGGGGTGTTGGTGTGGGTGTGGGTGCGGTTGTGTGTGTTGCTGCGTGCGTGCGTGCGTGCATGTGTATGTGTGTGTGTTGTGTTTGTGTGTGGTTGTGGTTATGTATGTGTGTGTTTGTGTTTATGTTTGTGTCTGTGTGTATGTGTGCGCCTGTGTGTGTGTGTCTGTCTATCTGCCTATGTGTCTGTGTGTCTGTTCTGTGTGTGGTTGTGTGTGCGTGCGTGTGTGTTGTTGCGCACTTCCACACAACTCGAGTCACCGCCTCGAGCCGCACGGTCCCCGGGCTCGACGGAGCCCCCCCTCAGAGCTCGACGGAGCTCTCCCGCGTCTGGAGCCGCGCCCAGGGGCCACCCGAAAGGATGGGCCACCCTGAGCGCCGCCTCGGCGCCCGCCACAGCGAGCCCGCCAGCAGCCCGGCGCCCGCTCACGGCCGCGGCCGCTGAAACAGGGGCCTGCCCGTCCTCGGGTGCAAGCCGTCGCGGATGCGGTCGCTCTGTCCCTGTGTCTGTGTCTGTGTCTGCCTCTGTGTCTGTCTCTGTGTCTGTGCCCGTGAGTGAGTGAGTGTGTGTGTGAGTGCGTGAATGAGTGTGTGTGTGCCTGTGTGTGTCTGTGTGTGTTGGTGTGTTTGTGTGTCTGAGTGTGTGTAAGTGTGTGTAAGTGTGTAAGTGTGTGTAAGTTTGTGTATGTTTGTGTGTACTATGTCTTGTGTGTATGTGTGTATATGAGGATGTGTGTGAGTGTGTGTGTGCGTGTGTGTGTGTGGGTGCGTGTCTGTTCGTGCGACTGCGCATGGTTTAAGCAATGTGTGCCAGCGTGGGCCTTAAAAAGTACAGTGAAGACGCTGACAGAAGGACCGCTTTGGGTTCGGAAGAGGATCGTTCTTCCTTAGGTTATTCCGTGGCTGTTACTCAAGCCCTCCTCGTGGACCCAGGTGCTGGTGGTGCCAAAAACGGGCTTCGTTCCTTGGACTGAGTGTGTCCTTATTTCAGCAGCCCTTCTGTCAGTTATTGCAGCGTCTATGCGTAAAAGTGTGGCGCGAACGACGTGGTGCAGGCAATGTTGCACAACCTGTGTGGTGCAAGCTAGTCGCGTGGTGCAGGCTCTCTTGTGCAAGCCACGCCGTGCAGGTGCAGGCCATGCGGCGCAAGGCACGCGGTGCAGGCTGCGTTGTGCAAGCCAGCCAATGTGGCGCAAGCTGCGCGGCCGCCCAGCGCACGAGGCGCCCACGGGCGCCCACGTGCGGGCACCAGGCGCAACCTCGGCCGACCCACCCAGCGGCACGAGGCGCCCACGAGGCGCCGCGACCGGGGCGGGCTCCGGGCGAGACCTCGGCGGACCCGTCCAGTGATTTGGGGAGCGAAGTACTGATCAGGAGGAGAAAACACAGACGTAAATCATCGTCCATCCCCTCGAAAAGAAGGAAAATACGGGAAGTGAAGGACAACACATAAGATTTGGACATGTATTGGGAATCTTGGGATTCGTTTCTATGTATTGATGCGCCCCTGGCCCCTTCAAAGAACCCCCAAGCGCAAGTACTGGTTAGCGACAGCGCGAGGACGAGGGAGGTTGGAAGGGAGGGGGGGGGGCAGCGCCCGCGGAGAGGCCTGGAAGGCGCTGGTCGAGCTCAGGATTCATTTCGAGGGCTGCCTGTCCATCGGGCGGGGGGCCGCGGGGAGGGGAAGGGCCAGATGGGCGCGAGCGGGGAGGGGGCGGCAAACGTTTTCGCCGTCTTCGAAACTCTATTAGGGAGGTTCCTTACGGGCCATCCTGGAGGTTCCCCAGGTCCCAATCTACGGTAGATCGTCTTACCACTCCAAGGAAACGATGGCTTCCCACTCACACTGCCTGTAGCCGAAGCCACATGTAATTTGACCGCCGTTCGAACTTCATGCTTCTACAAACTTATGCCGTTCAACCTGTAATGATCCCTCATCGGTCCTCCCTGTTCTCGGACGTCACAAGTTGTTCGTGACGTGGACGCCTTCCCTGGAGCCAGCGCTTCATCCCGAGTCGCGTGTTGACAGCCCCAGGCTCTGCAATCGCCTTCCACATACCCAAAAAGTTGAGAACTGGGCCGCCCCTAACCTTTTCGAGACACCGAATGTCTGGGATGATCCGCCCTCGATTTGCCGGCGCGCCCAAGATGGTGGCGCGAGGGGGGGGGCTTCTAAGAAGGCGGGGGCTTTTCAGAATGCAGGGAGTTTCTTAGAAGCCCCAGGAGGTTTCCAAGAATGCTTCTTCGAGGCCGGGGGCGCTTCTGCGAACCCCCCGCCTCCTTAGAAGCCACCCAGGGCCACCCCCTCGCGCCGCCCCCTTGTGCGTGCGGCCACTCGGCCCTCGCGATCTCGGAGACCCGCCGATTGTTTTTGGGAGCCGGCCCAAAGTTCGAGCCTTTTCCCAGGGCCGGCCTCTCATCCTGGGTCGATTTCTGCCCGCCCGAGGGTCTGGTGAGGGCCCCCAGGATTATCACGCTCCAACCTACTTTAGCTTTGATCACCAGAAAGAATTCCGAGCACCAAGAAAGTACCGAAACTGGAGGGTTTTCACGTGTCGGGCCCTGGGAGG